CTCTTTCTCTCCCTCCCCTCCCTTCTTCCTCTCTCCTCTCTCCCCTCCCTTCCCCTCTTTCTCCCCCTCCCTTCTTCCTCTCTCCCCTCCCCTTTCCCTCTTTCTCTCCCTCCCCTCCCTTCTCTCTCTCTCCCTCCCCTCTCCCTCCTCCCTCCTCACTTTCTCTCCTGTCTTTCATTCTCTCTGTCCCTGAACCAGGACTAAGCCACAATGCCCCTGCATTTGGCATCCCAAATCTGTTTGTGTGTGTGTGTGTGTCGGTTCCGTTTTCCTGTCTTCAAATCATGATTGGTCTGGAGATGCTGGGCCTGAATCCCAGCTTTAGGAGAGAAATCCCTCCATGGGTGTCCCATCCTTGGTTGGATCCTTCGCAATCTGAATGCCAAATTTCTCCCGATCCCCACCTGCCTTTCAAGGCTCCTTCCTCGTTCGGCCTCTCCTCTCCTTTGGAACTGAAAGAAGCCGGGGCCTTGAGACCTTCCAAAATCCTTCGCGCTCTTTCCGAGCATCTCTTTTTTTCCTCCTTTTTTTCCCCCCTCCCTCCCAGGCGACACAGATGGGGGGAGGCCCCCCAAACCCTCCTGAGCAGATGGCCCCTCCTCCGCAGCCGGCCGCCTCTCCTTCGCCCCCTCCCCCCTCGGCCCCACAAGGAGGACCGGAGGGTTTCTCGGCCGGCCTGGGCAGCGGCGGCCACGGCGGCCGTGGGGGCGCCTCAGCGGACGCTTTGCCTCCCGAGTTCTTCACCAGCGTGGTCCAGGGGGTGCTGTCCTCGATGATGGGCTCCCTCAGCGCCCAGCAGGGCAGCATGGAGAGCATCGCCGACTTCATTCAGCGCCTCAGCGGCACCAGCAACATCTTTGAGCCGGGCACGGAAGGCGCGCTGGGTAAGGCCTACGTACGCGGCTGCTCCAGAAGTTGGGGTGGGGGTGGAGTGATCAAGCCGGGAGAAAAAGTGACTTCCGGTCCTAAGGAGTCGCCAGCCTTTTTTGAATCCCGTAAGACAGGTTGTCGTCGACTTAACAACGGTTCATTTAGTGACTGCTCAAAGTTACAGCAGCACTGAGAAAAAGCGACCGGCCGCCATTTTGAGCTTGGCGGGCATTCCCATTTTGGTCAGGTGCTCAAAATTGGCAACTGCCTCACATTTACGATGGTTGAAGTGTCCCAGGGTCCCATGATTCCCCTCTTGAGACCTTTAGTCAGCAAACCAGATTCGTTTAGCAACCACCTAATTAACTTAACAACGGCCATGATTCGCTTAACGACGGTGGCAAGAGAGGTCTGTAAAATGGGAGTAAAACTCACTTAACCGATGTCTCCCTTAGCAGCATCCACTTTGGGCTCAATTGTGGTCCTACGTCGAAGACTACCTGTCCTTGCCTTCTTAATTCCTCATACCTTAATGGGTCTTTCACTGAAAGGATTTTTTTTAAAAGAGAGGTTTGTTGTCATGTAACGGAGGCAGATTTCCCAATTTGGAAACGGATCCTTTTCTTTCTTTGTGATTCTGTGATTTTATTCCAGCGTAGGAAAACGGGCTGATTTTATTTTGTGGTGGCCCAATTGCCACTTCTACTTAAATCAAACCAATCTTTAGTACTGTCAAAGGCCAGCATCAGGAGGATAGGTACAAGAAAATTTAAAAGCAGGAAAAAAAAATGACATAAAAAGCTAAAATAATGTAAAAGTCTAAAGGAAAAAAAAAAAAGGATAAAAACAATAAATGGACATTTTTTTTCTTTGCATTATTTTCTGCTTTTGAAATCCTTCCACCCGGCCCTCCCTACGCTGGTCTTATGTCAGTAATAAAGGTTGATTTGGTTTGATTTGCCACTTGTACTCAAATGCAGGCCCTTTTGTGGTGATGGGACTTGCTGTATTCTTTGTTCTCTTTCTCCTCCGTGGCCTCATTCTCAAAACCACGTTGAGCAGGCAAAAAAGAAAAAGGAGGAAATGGTTTATTTTTGAATATTCGGAGACTTTGGTTTGCTCCAATGTAAGGTATGTTTTGTATTGCAGATGAGGAGTTAATGGGTAGGGTTAATTTTTATCCACCAAAATCTCATTGGAGGCTGGCATGGAATTAAAAATAGTCTCGTTTTAGCTACTTGTTGTCTTCACTGGCTCTTCCAGAGATTCCCCTGTTGCTTTTCCCTGTGGGGATGTTCCTTGGACGGAAAAGTCCTTCTTTCCTTTGCCCAATCAAATTCTCTGTGCTCCTGCTGTTAAGTCTTCCAGCAGTCAATTAATCAGAATAGAACTGGAAAAGGGACCTTGGAGGTCTTCTAGTCCAACCCCCTGCTCAAGCAGGAGACCCTATACCGTTTCAGACAATCTCTTTTTAAAAACTACAGTGATGAAGCATCAACGACTTCTAAAGGCAAAGCTGTGCCACTGGTTAATTCTCCTCACTGATAGGAAATTTCTCCTTAGTTTCTGGTTGCTTCTCTCCTTGATTAGTTTCCATCCATTGTTTCTTGTCTTGCCCTCTGGTGCTTTGGAGAATAAGTTGACCCCCCTCCTCTTCTTCGTGGCAGATCCTCAAATACTGGAATTCTACTATCGTGTCACCCCCCCCCCCCAGTCCTTCTTTTCACTAGATTAGACAAACCCAAATCCTGCAACTGTTCTTCATATGTTTTAGTCTCCAGGCCTTTCAATCATCTTAGTTGCTCTTCTTGGCACATTTCCCCCCCCAAAGTCGCAACATCTTTTTTGTAAGTTGGTGACCCAAACTGGATGTGATATTCCAAGCGTGGTTTTACTAAGGCTTTATAAAACAGTCATGATCCCACAGTGGGGATGCGAGGGGACCGGGTGGCTCAGTGGCTAAGACGCTGAGCTTGTCGATCAGAAAGGTCGGCAGTTTGACGGTTCGAATCTCTAGCACCACGTCACGGGACTGAGCTCCCGTTCCTTGTCCCAGCTTCTGCCAACCTAGCAGTTCGAAAGTATGTTAAAAAAAAATGCAAGTAGAAAAATAGGGACCACTTTGGTGGGAAGGGAACAGCGTCCCATGCGCCTTCGCTGTTTTGTCATGCCGGCCACATGACCACGGAGACGTCTTCGGACAGCGTCTTCGGCTTTGTAACAGAGATGAGCACCGCCCCCTAGAGCCGGAAACGACTAGCGCGTATGTGCAAAGGGAACGTTTACCTTTACCTAATGGTCCCGCTCGTCTGGACCAGGACTTTGAGGGGCTGGTGAGTCTCTCCCCCCACCCCTCTTTATTTTTTCGCTCCTCTTCCTTTTGCAGGCTTCTTTGGAGACCTGCTGTCTTTGATCTGCCAGAACTTCTCCATGGTTGACATGGTGATGCTGCTTCACGGCCAGTTCCAGCCCCTGCAGCGGATTCAGCCCCAGCTCAGCCGCTTCTTCCGGGAAGAGTACCTGCACGGCCAGGAGCCCACCGACCGCAACGTCCGGGTGAGATGAGCTTCTCTTCCGTCTCCGGGTGTTCCTTCTCCGCCTTTTAACCTGCTGCTCGGGTTAACGATTTGCCTTCTCTTTTTGGGGTTTCTTTCAGATGGCCACCTACAGTTTGATTAATGGCTTGGAGGAATACGTCCGGGAGAGTTTTGTAAGTTTTGATTCCACTTTTGTTTCCTCCGCTTTGATGGCGCTGGGCGGTTTGGGCTGGGAAAGGAGAACCACAACCAGCCACTCAGCTTGGGGAGGTGAAGGTGTCACTGCCACTTAGTCAAGTCAGTTTTTGCTAAGAGTGAAAAGATCAGAGCAGGTTAAAAACTGTCACGCAATATCTAGTTAAAATTTCTGTAATAAAATAATAAATAACAGATGTAATCTATATTAAAATCACAAGTTGGCACCCAGTTTGTAAGTTACACACCAACAAAACCCAGCATGGCCTAACTAAAATATAAAGCCAGTCCTTAAACTGTGAGGCCAGTGGGTTTAGATCACGGGTGGGCAATTAATTTTCCCCAGGGGAGCACATGAGAAAGTGACATTGTTGTGGAGGGCCCACTGTTGCAGTTGCTCCACCCCCTGGCACTGTGTTGTGGTTAGCTGGCAGCAGGTGCGGATGGCTGAGGAGAGCAAGGACTCAGATGAGGGGCCAGGACCATTAGGGAGTGAACTGCTGCCCTCAGAGATTGTGGGGGCTGGCAGCAGCGATGAGGTTCCCGAGGAGCCTGTGCCAATTGCGCATGTGCGCAGGATTGCTCGTAGGAAAGAGCAGCTACAATAGCACGGGCGACTCGGGAGTAAGGCTGCAAGGGAATGGCCCCTCCTTCAAGAAGATAAAAGGCAGCTGTGAAACGAACGTACTTTGCAGAAGGCAAAGACGTTTTGAAACCCCAGCCTCATAGACATTCCAGTATCCTGAGTTTGTATTTGAAGATTTTTGTATTGCAAATTATTTCTCGTCTGTTATCTTTTGGCAGTCTCGCAGAGTTTGGCAAAGCTAGTGCTTATCACAGCTAATTATTTGCAACCTTCTCTGAGCGGCTTACAATGTCAGCTTATTGCCTCCAACAATCCGTGTTCTCATTTTACCCATCTCGAAAGGGTGGAAGGCTGAACTCCAGAATGTAGGCAAAGTTAACCCTGCAATGCTGCATTCTAACCACCACGGCTCTTAATAGCAATAGCCCTTAGACTTCTATACTGCTTCACAGGGCTTTACCGCTCTTTTTAAGCGGTTTTACAGAGTCGGCCTATTGCCCCCATACAATCCGGGTTCTCATTTTACCCACCTTGGAAAAATGGAAGGCCGAGTCAACCTTGAGCTGATCAGGATTGAACTCCTGGCAGTGGGCAGAGTTAGCCTGCAATACTGCATTCTAACCCACTGTGCCGCCACGTCACTTAGCAACCATTCAAAGCTAGGTGACTGACCTGAAAAAAAGGAATTATGACCCGGATTAAAAGTCCTGGCAGTCGGGCCCTCTCCGTAGTCACCTGACTGAACTTCGCGCACTGGGAAACATTGACAGCCATTTGCAGTGTCCCAGACTGTCTCTTTATGACGGTTTTGCGGAAAATGGGCGCTTTCAGTTTTTAGCAAAAAGCATGTCAGTAACCAACCATTGGTTCACTTAACAACCGTGCCATGTGTTTGATGACACTCACTTCAGACCGGTGCTAAGTGAACCACCAGTCTTAAGTGAATCTTGTCATCAAAGTCACGCTAAGTGAATTTTACAGAAAGGTGGTAAAATTGGGTGTGCCATGTGATCGGCCAGACATAACGACCATAACGGGCAGGTTTCATTACGGTTGTATGTCAAGGACTAGCTATAACCATGGTCACACCAGTATGCTCTTTCTGTCAGGGCTCCAACAAATCCACCCCCATTCAAATCAGAAGTCTCTAGCAGCATCTAGAAAAAAAGATTTATTAGGAATGGCCATGTTGGCGTTAGCTGGGTGCAGCCGACGCTAAAATACACCATTAATTTCCCCCTTGACCCTGGTCTTCCCCCCCCACCCCCGTGGATGTATATTCTCCAATGGGACACATCCATAGCCTAGAGTCATCAGTCATGCTCTCCAGTAATATTCTTGCACGCTGACCGCTTTGGGCTGCCAAGGTGATTATCTAAGGCATTTAAGGAATGCACTGCTTTCCTCCACTCCCTTTCTACTGGCAACTAAAAAGGCCAAAGGAGTATTTATTTATTTATTTAGTTGACACTTTCCTTTATTCTTTGAAAGCAGAAATCGGCTTTTTTTTTTCATTTGGAAAAGAAAAAAGTGCTATTCAATGCACACCCACCCACCATCCCCACTTAACTCTGTACACCTGGCCAGCTCTGCAATGCGGCGGGTCAGAAATCCCCTATAGATGAAATTTGCCCTCATTTTTCAGATATGCTGTGTTGTTTTTTGCAAGCCCCCCCCCAAAAAAACAGTCGCTATACTCTATATCTGTGAAGGCTCCTAAACCTGCACCCAGAACTTGCTCTTGGTCTGTTACCTGTTTTTCCCCCCCCCTTAGGCCTCGGTTCAAGTCCAAGATGGAGTTGACATCACCCGGACCAATCTGGAGTTCCTTCAGGAGCAGTTCAACCGAATCGCCACACATATCTTGCACTGCACCGGTAGGAAGACGTCCAGAGGGGAAGGACACTTTCCCGGAAGAGAGAACCATTTATTTATTTATTTATTTGATTCGTCAGTTGCTTACAAGATAATAGATATAAGCATAAACATGAGTAAGAATACAGGAAATAGGTACGAATAAATGGGGACAATAGGACAGGCACAATGGTGACTTAATGCACGCCCCTTATAGATCTCTTAGGAATGGGGTGAGGTCAATAGTGGTTAGTTTGAGGTTAAAGGAGTGGAGGTTAGAGGATGTAACAACAGAGTCAGGAAGTGCATTCCAGGCATTGACCCCTCTGTTGCTGAAGTCGTACTTTCTGCAATCGAGTTTGAAGCGGTTTAGATTGAGTTTCTATCTATTGTGGGCTCTTGTATTGTTGTGGTTGAAGCTGAAGTAGTCATTGACTGGTAGGACATTGTAGCAGATAATTTTGTGTGCTACGCTTAAATGTAACTGTAAGCGGTGTAGTTCAAGGTTGTCCAAGCCCAAAATCTCAAGCCTGGTGATATAGGGTATTCTGTTGCGAGCAGAGGAGTGTAGTACTCCAGAAATACTTCTGGACTCGCTTGATTGTATTCATGTCTAATATGCAGTGCGGATTCCAGACTGATGAGCTGTATTCGAGTATTGGTCTGGCAAAAGTTTTGTATGCTCTAGTTAGCAATTCGATATTTCCAGAGGAGAAGCTTCGTAAGATTTGATTTACAACTCGTAATGCCCTTTTTGGCAATGCTGTTACGGTGAGCTCTAGTGCTTAGGTCTTTTGATATGAGAACTCCAAGGTCCTTTGAATTTGCTTTTCTAATTACGTTTGCAACTTTTTGGTTCTAGATCACACTTTTGGCTACCGACTACTTGAGCTGTGTAACCAGGGTCTCTTTGAGTGCTTGGCGCTGAACCTTTACTGCTTGCGAGGGGAGCAGACGGCTCTCACCACAGTCATCAATGACCGCATTGTGAGTGTCAAGACAGATCAAGCAATTGGAGAGCCTCTTCAATCCATCAACTAAGACAGGGGTCTCCAGCCTCGGCAATTTTAAGACGTGTGGCCTTCAACTCCCAGAATTCCTCAGCCAGCGAAGCTTCAAACTCTGGGAGTTGAAATCCATAAGAGTTAAAGTTGCCAAGGTTGGAGACCCCTGAACTAAGACGATTAAAGGCTCTGGAGACTGAAAACATATGAAGAACGATTGCAGGCACTGGAATTTGGCTAGTCCAGAGAAAAACTAAATATGTGCCGGTTTGCCAAGCATCCAACCATGGGGGATACTGCAAAGGTTGTAAGCGTGGAAAACGGTCATAAGTCACTTTTTCCAGTGGCGGTGTAACTTGCAGTGTTCCAGTATTTGAGAGGTAGCCACAAAGAGGAAGGAATCCATTTATTTTCCAAAGCACCAGAGGGGCAGGACAAGAAACAATGGAGGGAAACTAATCAAAGAAAGAAACAAAATGGAATTAAGGAGAAAATTCCAAAAAGTGAGGACAATTAACCAGCGGAACAGCTTTGCCTTCAGAAGTCGTGGGTGCTCCCATCACTGGAGGCTTTTAAGAAGAGACCTGGCTGAAATGATATAGGGCCATGTTGGTAAACCTATGCCACCCTTGCTGGAAGTGGCATGCAGAGTTATTTCCCCGGGCACGCGAGAGGTCATCTGGAAGACCCCCACTGCGCATATGCGTGCCGTCGCCCGACAGCTGATTGTTGGGTATCTGGCGCACATGCGCAGGGGGCAGGGGGGAGTGCGCAGGAGACAAGCATGCTCAGGGATGCACTGCACACGAAGGAATCACATGCGCATGCACAAAGATGCGCAGTGCGTGAGGGGGGAATCGTGCATGCGCAGGGGGTGTGGGGTGGCCCCCATCACACATTGCCTTCTGGGTGCTGGCATGCGAGCGAGTGCAATTATCAGCATGGGAGCCAAAAAAGGTTAGCCACCACTGGTATAGAGTCTCTTGCTTGAACGAGGATGGACTAGAAGACCTCCAAGGTCCCTTCCAGTTCTACTCTGATTGATTGAAGATCTGAGAAGTTTTGTGTGTCATATGTGTTATGATATGTACAGAATAACCCTTGAGTAACAAGGATATGCGCATGGAAACCTTTATGAGAATAGTTATGAATAATTATCCAGCCACACTCAGATACACTAAATTGAGTTAAAGTTTACTTGAAGAAATAGCACAGTCTAATATATAGGTCCAGGTCATATACATTTTGCAGTCCAAAGAATATCCAATTACAAAGTCTTCTTACCGGTTGCCTTAGTCATTTACAGTAAACAAAAATATCAAAGTATAAGTACAGCATAAATACAACAGATAGCAACAGAATGTCAGAGAGAGCAAGCCATGATCTCTATAGCTCCCTCTTATGGTAATTTGCAATATAATCAACCAATCGGAATATAGCATAAATCAATACAGTGATTTTGTCTTAAAGCTACAAACATACATTGTTGGTTTATATATTGCCAACCCAACTAATCAGTGGACAGATTCCTAACAATATGGAGACGGAGTTGCTACCTATCTCTATTACGGAGCGTGCAGGCAAGAGGAGGAGAGGATCACGCACTATGATGCTTGGCCAGAATGATGATCCATCACTTCTAAAGGCTACCGGTGGTCCTTGACTTACAGCTGTTCGTTTAGTGACCTGAGAGTTACAACAGCACTGAAAAAAGCGACTTATGACCGTTTTTCACATGACCGTTGCAGCATCCCCATGGTCATGTGATCAAAATTCGGATGCTTGGCAACTGGCTCTTATTTATGACGGTTGCAGGGTCCCCAGGTGACGTGATCCCCTTTTGCAACCTCCTGACAAGCAAAGTGAATGGGAAAGCCAGATTCACTTAACAACCGTGGTCGTAACTTAATAACTGCAGTGATTCACTTAATTAACTGGCAAGAAAAGGTCATAAAACGGGGCAAAATTCACTTAACCCAATACCTCACTTAGCAACAGAAATGTTGGGCTCAAGTGTGGCCGTAAGTCAAGAAGGACTACCTGTATATCCCAGTCACCAGTACAGGTAGTCACTTGATGATTGTTCAATAGCAATAGTCATTAGACTTCTATACTGCTTCACAGTGCTTCTACAAGGCCTCTCTAAGCGGTTTTACAGAGTCAGCCTATTGTCCTCCAACAATCCGGGTCCTCCTTTGACCCACTTTGGAAGGATGGAAGGCTGAGTCCACCTTGAGCCTGGGTGGGATTCGAACTGCCAAATTGCAGGCAGCCGGCAGTCAGCAGAAGTAGCCTGCAGTACTGCACTCTAACCATTGCACCACCATGGCTCAGTGTTACCGTTCAAAGTACAACTGTTGAAAGTTACAATAAACTTGAGATAAATTTTTTTTTACAGCCTCTCCCTCTCCCCCTGTTTCTCTCTTTTCCTCCTCCTCTCCCCAGAGGCGGATGTCGGCAGACATGAACCCGTCCTTGGTGAGCTGGCTCACCACCATGATGAGCATGCGCCTGCAAGTGATCCTGGAGCACATGCCAGTCACAGAGGAACAGATCTTGCAATATGTCCGCAGGGTGGGCGACCTCCCCCAGGTAAGACATAAGGGACAGGGTGAGAAATCCATGAGACGAAGGAGCAGGGAAAGTCAATTCCTAGAGCATCCGGGGACTGGCAGCCATGGCCAAAGCAAGGCCTGCCTTTTAGCCGGCAGGGGTAAGGCTCGGGGCACAGAGGTGACTACATGGACAAGTCCTTCCGTAATCTTTGCCCTGGAATTGGCCTAAGAACTTCAATTATGCTCGTCGAAGTGGATGGCAGTGCTTCATTTTGGTGGAGGTTGGAGTGTGGAGTCTTCCTGGAGACTATTCACTGTTTCCAGGATGGCCCTGCAGACCAGAGTTTTGATACCCCTGTCCTATAGCATAGTAGTGCTTTGCCTCATTAAGAAGCTGGCTGTGAGCAGAGCAGGGTCCAGAAGAGGAAGATGGCAGGGAAGGGCCCAGAAGGCACTGCGGGGGCTTTGATCCTTTTTTTTTCTTCCTTGCACCTTCTCAGCCTGCTCCCGAAGAGCCCATGGATGTCCAGATTGCAGAACAGGCTCCAGAGACCGTGCAGGTATGGACTGGGAGGGGCTTATTTAGCACACTTCCGGCCAGTCTGTGCGACAGATGTGTCTCTTGCACAGGTGTGAGATCATTGTAGAACTTGGAGGGCATAGGTAATGATTAGCATCTGTTGAGACCTTCAGGTTGTTTTTTTTTTTTTCAAATGTGGAGTGCATTACGATCGGGGATCCTTATTGTGAGGTGCTGCTTCTACAGTGCAGATGGTAGAATGAGGTTTACTCAGCTGGAACATTTACCATGAGGACTCTGATGACCCGGGACGTGGCACAAAGGCAACACAGTCAGATAATCAGTAGGAGTCCCTTTATGAGCTCCAACTTTCCCCCCAATGTCCTGGTTATCTTCTGGCTGGAGAAAAAACTCTCCCAGGGACAGCCTTTGGCTGCAGAGAATCAAGTCCAAAACGTGGTCAACGAAAACTGTAACTATAAGTCCAATCAAGGCAAAATGAAGTAATTAGTCTGGCAGGGCAGGAGCAAGAATTTCAGAGGTGAAGGCACGGCAATAACTCAACACAGTTGGCAATGCAAATAAGCAAAGTCAACACAAGATAAACTCACGTTTGCTCCCAGCAACTGTCTCACTCAGCATGCATCTCTTTTAAACTCTCTTCCCAGCTGCAGCTAATGGAGGGAATCAGGTCCCTTTCCTCCCCCGTAAGCCATGCAACCTACATTGCTCTCCTCTCCGTTCCTCCCTACGTGCCCTAGGATGAAGATGGGGGTGGGCCTGGGTCTTCCTCTGAACTCCCTCTCTCGTTCTACCTCTTCCCTGCTCTGCCCAGCCGGACTTTGCCCTTCCCCAGTTTCCTCCACAGCCAACGGAGCCACTCTCCCACTCCCTGTCAGCTCTTCGTCTTCCTCCTCGGATTCAGACTCCGACGGGGGCATGACAAGGGCTGGGTAGCACAAGCAAATGACAGCCAAGGACTTAAAAGCCAGTCACCCACATGCCCCAATCAAACCCCAAACAAGCATTTAAAAATCCACATACCGCAGGCACCATATAAACACCACCCATAGAACAGCACGCACTCTGCCAGAGAGACGTTCCCTGAAGATGGGCTCCAGCCAGTGGAGGGCTGCAATCGGTTTAACAACAGTTCCGTGCATGCGCGCAGCGTTCAAAAACTGTCCATTTTAAGCTTAAAAACTTAACTTCTATGCCAGCGCTGGTGAGTAAAACAGCTGAGGGGCAGGACAATCCACTGTGCAACGGCACTGAACAAGTGGGACTTGCAACCAGCCCTTGGAGTCCCGGTCATCGCACTTCCTGCAAAGTCAGTGAAGAAACCAGCAGAGAAAATTGCAAACCCCTCCGGCTTCTTCACTCCTGTGCACTGGTGCCTGGCCTCCTGCTGCACAATCTATATATCTCCTGGTTGTGTGACATTGTGCTTTACAGTCAAATTGTGTAGCCATTGGCAATCACGGTCCCCATCGCTAAGGACTAACCATATGGGGGCCTAGGTCCTTCTAATGGATAATTAGCACCTTGAATTGCACCCAGAAAACCCACCATCAGGCAATGCAGCTTATGAAAACTAAGGTACCTCAACTGCCCCTGCCACCGTATTCTGGGGCAGCTGCAGCTCCTGAATAGACTTCAAGGCAAGCCCCAAGTAGACCGTGTTGCAACGTCTCAGTCTGGCTCTTCAGCGCATCCCTTGCTCTTTTGCAGCGAGAGACGGCAGCCTCCCCGGCCCCAGCCACGACAGCAGAGGAAGCCATGCCCCAGCAGCGAGGGGAGCCGGAACGTGAAGAATTGCAGCAGGGGGAGCCCCCTGCCCCCGATGTGGAACCCTGGGCCGCTGCTGTGCCCCCTGTGAGTTTCCTTGGATGGCAAAAGGGGCACGGGAGGGAGGGAGGACTCGATCTAGCGCAGAGCACATTGCCGGGGGGTGGGGGAATTCTTCGTGCTCTCTGAGCTTGCTTGTTTTCTTGCAGATATTTCATTACCTAAACTAGGGGACAGAGCTGGAGTGGCGCAGTGGTTAAAATGCCGTGTTGCAGGCTAATTCTGCCGATTGCCAGCAGTTCGGCAGTTCGAGTCTCATCAGGCTCAAGGTTGACTCAGCTTTCCATCCTTCCAAGGTTGATAAAATGGAGGACCAAGATTGTTGGGGGCAAGAGGCTGACTCTGTAAACTGCTTAGAGCAGAGGTCCCCAACCTTTCTAGCTTGGTGGCTGGCTTGGTGGCCGGGGGTGGGGGCAGAGCATGTGAGTGGCAACTGCACACCTTCCTGCATGCAGCTCCATTTGTGCGAGCAGCACACACACCGTCCATTGACACTGTTAAGCCTGGATTCCCCAACGGGTGTTAAGGAAAACAAACTAAAACAGAACGTGCAGCGAAGTCAGATAGGAAGACAGGTAAATGTGTGAGATAAGTTTTCTAGTTAACACGCAGTAAAAATACAGATACACTTGTGCTATCAAAAATATTGTTTATTCCATTTAAGAATTATAGCATAGTCAAATGTAACGGTCCATTAGTCATATATCAATTTCAGTCAAGTCTTGTCGGGGATACTCTATTTGCAAAGTCCGTGTTGAATAGCCAATGTCAGTACACTTACAATAAATCAGTCCAATCTTTATCTTCTCTCCGTTGAGAAAAATCAACACTCCTTTTTCTCTCCCCGTTCCAGCAAGAACGCAGTCATCAATCCATCCAGTAATTAGGGATCAGTAAGCCAGAGAGAGCGAGCTGCAATTGCCTCGCTTCTTATATAGTGCTTTTACAACCACACCCTTAATTACATTCTTGCTGTTAAAGTTACACACACTTTAACCAACAAACCATGATACCTTATTTATTATTTTTACCCAAACCAGTTAGGGTAAACAATGTTATCCCTAACAGACACAAAGGATGTTCCCATGCGAGCACTCATGTGCGAAGCTCCACTCGTGTGAGCGAAGGGCACTTGTGCTTGCATATGAAGCTCCACTCCATTTCTCCCAGGGCCCAATTTTAAATAGGGCCTATCAGTGGGCTGAGGCCTGGGGACTTGGGACTCCTGGCTTAAGAAAAGGCAAAGTGAATTGATATATACTGTGTTTCCCCCCAAATTAAGAACTGGTCTTACATTTTTTTGCCTCCAAAAAGGGCACCAGGTCTTATTTTTAGGGGAAGTATTACCCACTTACCTTAGGACCACCACAGCCAGACCAGCTGTAATACCACTGCTCAACTTCTGTGGCCATTTGTGGCCGGACGCCATGTAGCTCATTGTGCCGTTGCCGCCGCTAATGGCAGGTCACGTGCCATGTTACGCCATTGTGTGCAAGCGGTCGCAGAAGAAGTCAGGCAGTAGCGCGGCAAGTGTTGGCATGTGGGAGGCCTGGCTATGCCGGTCCTAAGGTAAGCAGGTGCAGGGGGCAAGGTCCACCCCACTACCCCAGCCCTAGCCTCATTTTTATGCCTGTGCCTCGCCTCACCTCGTACAACTAGATGGTGGGACGGAACGGGTGGTGTTTTAACTAGGGCTTATTTTTGGGATAGGCACACGGAAAAAATCAAGCTAGGGCTTATTTGCGGGATGGGTCGTATTTGTGGGGAAACACGGTATGTTTAAGTGCTGCTGCTAACATCGCTGAGCTGCTACCACTGATGATGCTGCCCAGTTTGGGTAACGAAATGTCCGTAAGAAAAGCCAGCCAGCTCAGAGAGCACCAAGTTCCACCCTCAGGTACAAATATTCTCCTGGATTGGTGCATTGTGTGGGAGATGCTAACCAGTTCCCGGAATCTTTGCTCTCCCCCCCCCCCCACTTCTCCTCCGCCAGGAGTGGGTACCCATCATCCGGGAGGACATCCAGAGCCAGCGCAAGCTCAAGCAACAGCCGCCCCTCAGTGATGCTTACCTGAGCGGCATGCCAGCTAAGCGGCGCAAGGTGAGACCAGGCCCCCCTCTTGCAGGGTGGACAAAGGATACTCGTTTGCCTGGAGTGTTAAAAAAAAAATGGAGGGTTTTAAGAAGAGATCGGACAACGATTTGTCTCAAAACGACTTACGACTATTTTTTCAGACGGACGACCGTTGCAGCCTCCCTACAGTCACGGGATCAAAATTCAGATGCTTGGCAACTGACTCGTATTTAGGACGGTTTGCAGTGTCCCGGGGTGGTGGTGGTGGTGGTCACGTCATCACCTTTTGCGACCTGACCAGTCAGTGGTGAAGGCGGATTCACTGAACAACGGTGTCGCTAACTTTTAACAACCGCAGTGATTCGCTTACCCACTGTAGCAAGAAAGGTTGTAAAATGGAACCAAACTCATTGAACCAAAATGTCTCACAACAGAAATTGGGGGCTCAGTTGTGGTTGTAAGTCAAGGACGGGTAGGATTCTACCGGTTCGGACCGGTTCTATAGATCTGGTGGTTATGATTCTGTGCCGTTTGGTGAACTGGCAAATTGTGCCTCCGGCTGGCCCCGCCCCTCCCCTCCCAGTCAGTCCTTATCGCACATGCATGACGTTGCTGACTGCGTTCTCCCCCACCCAGGTATTTCTTAAGGTATTTCCCCCCCCTCCCGCTCCTGATGATCAGCTGTACCGGAATTCCCCTCACTGCCTTACTGCTTTGCCCAGGGGGCTTCCTTGAGGCCCAGGAAGGGGCGCGCAGGAGGGGGGGTGCTGCAAAAAAGAAAAGAAGAAGCTATGCCCACCCAGTCACATGGTTTCGCCCACCTAGCCACGCTCACAGAACCGGTTGTTTAAAAAATCTGAATCCCACCCCGGTCAAGGACTTACCTGTATAGAGTTTCCTGCTGGAGCAGGCCGTTGGCCTAGGAGACCTACAGAGTCCCTTCCGCCTTTGCTACATGGTAATGGCCGAAATTGTGGAAACCTTTTGGGGAAAAAAAAAGTGCATGTCTAATAACCCCACTTTTTTTGGAGTAGTACCATCAAATTGTATATCAACGGAAAGATGTAATTTAATCAAGAATGCAACCCAATCAAGTTTGTTCAATTATCTGTCCTCTGTGAAAAGGTATAAGGTCGGAAGCGACCCAGCGATAAAGCCCAGTTGATAGAAGCAATCCTTCAATCTTGATTTCACATTAGAACAGCTGCAGAACTAAAAGACTCCATGGGAAAACATTGTAAGGCCCTAATTCATGCTAAAGGTTACCCAACTAAATATTAACTGACACTGATAATTTTTGTATATCTCATTTTTTTCCCCACATGTTCCACTTCTTTATAACTGCTATTCTAATGGCAAATCCTTCATAAAACTTATTGTATCACATTCTTGATTAAATTATCTTTCCATTGATATATCATTTTATGGTATTACTCCTCTCACCCCCCCCCCCCCAAAAGAGTGATTTAGCCATCAAACCTCAACACTTTTCCCACCCCCAAAAGGTTTCCACAATTTTGGCCACTACTGTAGGTAGTCCTCAACTTAGGACCACAAGGGAGCCCAAAACCTATGTTGTTAAGTGAGAAATTTGTTAACTTGAGTTTGGCCCCAGTTTACGATTTTTGTCACGCTTGTTAACCGAATCACTGCAGTTAGTCACATGATGGTTAAGAGCACCTGGCTTCCCCATTGCTGGTTAGAAGGTCGCAAAAGGGGATCACGTGACCCCAGGACACTGCAAACGTCATAAATGTGAGTGTCAGGGCTCCAACAAATCCACCCTCATTCAAATCAAAAGTTTTTAGCCGCATCTCAGAGAAAAGTAAATTGGTTTACTAGAAGTTGCCATGTTGGGGTGTGGCTGGGTGCAGCCGATACTAAATCGCACCATACATTTCCCCCTTGACCCTGGCCTTTCCCCCACCCCCTGGGTGTGACTTCTCCAATGGGACACATCCATCTCCCAAGAGTCCTCCATCATGCTCTCCAGTAGCCGCCTTATGCTCCGACAACTCAGGGCTGCCGGGGTGATTATCTAGGCATTTAAAGAATGTCTTGTTTTCCCCCACTCCCTTTTCTTGGCAGCTAAAAAGACCAAAGGAGTATCTTTTTAGTTGACAGTCAGTAAGTGGTCAAGCACCTGACGTGACCATCGGGGATGCTGCAATGGTCATAAGTGTGAATAATGATCTTAAGTCACTTTTTTTTCAATGCTGTTGTAACGTCAAGCTGTCACTAAGTGAACTGTTGTAAGCTGAGGACTTGCCTGTATTCTGTTTTCTGTCCGTCTCCTGCTAGCTCGAGGTGTCCTAGTTTGATTCTTGGGCCTCTTGCAAGATTTTTTTATAATGCTGGATTTGTCAGGAAGGGGAGGAAGGGAGGGAGGGAGAATCCCACATTTTGCTGGCTGAGGCCTTCCAGATTGTGGCAGGTTTCCGTGGGTCAATGGGTGCTGGGCCTCTCAGGCCTTCCCCCCACCCACTCCCCAAAGCTAGGTTTGGGGGGTCATTGAGTGAGGCAGCCATATGAGTGTCTTGTTTAAATGACCACAGCAACTTATGACTAGAAGTCCAGGCTCAGTTGCGATGGTAAACCGAGGATGCAGAAATGTAATGCAAAAATTAAAATATCCTGGCGGCCAAGAATGTATCTCGTAGCATAATCACGTAATAACGAACGGGTGTGCTTTTTGTGTATATGTGTGTGGTTTGTATTACAGTTGCATTTATGAAGGTTTTAGAAAGATTTCAGTTTCAGTATGGTGGTTTTCTGGTGCTCATTAAAAACATTCAGGCCTTTCCAGTTTGTGGAAAGCATTGAGTTCTGAGTGATCCTCCCCATCCATCATCCATCCATCCATCTATCATCTACTACCTACCTAACTAACTATATCTATCCATCATCTATCATTTACCAATCCATCTGCCTGTCTCTCTCTCTCTCATCTATATCTATCTATCATCTCTCTGTCTCTACTATCTATCTATCTATCTATCTATCTATCTATCTATCATCTATCTATCTATCTATCTATCTATCTATCTATCTGTCTGTCTATCTAATCTTATCTAATCTTATCTAATCTTATCTAATCTTATCCTATCCTATCCTATCCTATCTATCTATCTATCTATCTATCTATCTATCAATCTATATCTAATCTATCTAATCTATCTATCATCTATCTATCATCTATCTATCTATCTATCTATCTATCTATCTATCTATCTATCATCTATCATCTACCTATCTCCATCCATCCATCATCTATCATTTACCAATCTGTCTGTCTTATCATCTCTCTCATCTATATCTCTCATCTCTCTCTCTCTTCTATCTATATTTGGATGATGCTTACAGGATATTTAAAAAAAAACATTTTGCAGACAATGCAGGGTGATGGACCCCCGTTGCTCCTGTCAGAGGCCGTCAACAAAGCTGCGAGAGTGGTCGGAGTAAAACCTTTGACGAGCGCCGAGAGCTTGAACCGAGACCTTGCTGATCCAGCACTGCAAGATGGCTACCAGCAGCAGGTGGGTTGGGTTCCTTGGCTGTGGGGCAGAGGGTGCAATGGAAAGTACCGGAGGTGCTTTTTTAACAGGAACTGGTAATTGCTGTGAAGAGCTGTGGGGGTGGCACAGTGATTAGAATGCAGTATTGGCAGGCTGACTCTGCTCGCTGCCAGGAGTTCGATCCTGACTGGCTCAAGGTTGACTCAGCCTCCCATCCTTCCGAGGTGGGTAAAATGAGGGCCCAGATTGTTGGGGCTAATAGGCTGACTCTGTAAACCGCTTAGAGAGGCCTGGAAAGCACTGCAAAGCGGTATAGCAGTCTTAAGTCAACATCATCATCTTCATTTAGCGACCCCATAATCCCTTAAGGGGGTGGAATCTGGGCAACTGAATGGAGCTAGCAAGAGTGTTTACTGGCCGGATGCCCTTCCTGTCGCCAGCACGGAGTTTTGTTCAGCAGATGTATTCTCAGTGTGCCCAGAGAGAGATATATTTTTGAAGTGCTATTGCTAATTGATGCACTTGCTTTCTTCCCGCCCTTTTTTTCCAGTTGAAATCCGATCTGCAGGAGAGACTTCAGGCCGATCCCAGTTTCACTCCTCAGCGCTTTCCCAGTGCCCAGCAGGCCTTCGTGGCTGAAGACTCCTAAAAGAGGCTGGCCGGAAGCGCCTGAGCCCGAGGCCGGTTCCTCAAGGCCGGCTTCACTGTCCACATGCGCGTGATGCAGACACCCCACTCCTTTCTCAGGCCAAATATTTAAATTCCATTTATTTTCCCCCATGGTTGCAGTGACTTTCCCCCCCTCCCCCCGTGGAGTGTCCAAGCCGCTGCCAAAATCAATAAAGATAACCCGTATGTCCAGGATCCAGTTGTGTCTCTTTTTTCTCCCTGCCCACCCACACTTAACAATCTATTGTGGACTTCATACTTCGTAGCACCTTTAATTACCTTGAGTTGTTTTGGCCAAGCAGATTTTCTTATTTCTGGTTCACACAGCCTTTTCTTGGCAAAGCTTTAAAAAGAAGCACAGTGGGCTTTGGCTTTAGTTTAGTGTCGCGATGGTGAACCTATGGCACGCGTGCCACAGGTGGCACTCAGAGCCGTTCGTGTTGGCACACAAGCAAACTTACCTCACTGCACCTGTGTGCACCTCACATCTGATTTTTGGCAGGTTTGAGGCCTTTTTCGGCCTCCCAAAGGCTTTGAGGAAGGCTTCTGCAGGCTTCTACAAGCTTTGTGGGCAGAAATCTAGCTGTTTCGACACTTCCGGTATTTTCGGAAAACCAGGAAGTGATAAAAACGGGACTAGATTTTGCGTGCGCATGCGTAGGGGACGTGGGTGGGTGTGGCCTTGCCTTCTGGGTGCTGGCCCGCGAGCGTGCGTGTGCAAGCACGCACACCATTTTTTGGCACAGGAGCCCCCAAAGGTTAGCCACCATTGGTTTAGTCAAACATCGTACGCTGTTCAGCATTAAAACCATGCAAGGTGCCTCGGAGACGCTTTTTTCAAAAGGCAACGACCGTATTTTTTTTGCAGTATAAGACACTCCAGACCATAAGACACACCGAGCTTTTGGGGAGGAAAAGAAGCAAAAAATAAATAAATCTGCCTCTGCCTTCCCAGCCATTTGCCTCCTTGCAGCAAACAGCCTGTTTCAGCTTCAGCATGAGCAGCTTATTGGCGGTTGGATTGGCATCCCGGAATACTGCAGATCATGTGTTCCAGGCTGCGGGGATCGCCACCACCCATCAACCGCTGCCTATCACTTCCTCCCACCTATCGCTGCCTCTGTGCGGGCCATTTTTGGCCTCCACGCGTCCCGTTTTTTGGCCCGTTTCAGGTGGCAGGGCTCTCCAAGTGCCCCATTCGTTCACCGCCATTCGCCGCTTGGAACAGGCTGAAAACGGGACCCGTGGAGGCAGAAAATTGGGCACGGCAGCGGTGACGATCCCCGCAGCCTGGAACACCTGAATTGGCAGTATTCTGGGAGGCCGATCCAACCGCCGATCAGCTGCTCTTGCTAAATCAGGCTGTGTTGAAGCTGGGAGGCAAAGGGTGGGGGGCTGGGGAGTGGGCGGGGCTTCAAGCAACATGCATTCTATGAGACATTTCCACATGCTTTTTTGGGGGGGCGGGGGAAGTGCGTTTTATAGTGCAAAAAATACAGTCACTGGACGACGTTTTTTTTTCCTGAGCAAGAAGAGGTTTCGCCTCTCATCTCAAGTAGCTTCATCAGTTCTGAGCCAAGAAAGCTTCTTGGGATGAGAAGCATAGTATCTTCAAGGAGAAAAAAAAAAAAAAAAGTCCAGTTGCCTTTTGAAAAAGCACGTCTTGTGATAACCGTGACCTGGATGACTGAAGATCTCCACAGACATTGAACACTGCAAGGTGTTCGGGGATTGTGCATCCAGGTAGCACTGTGAACAAGAAGCAGACTCAAGTGGGTTTTTTTTTTTTAATCTGTTTTGAGACACTGAATTTAGTAAGAAACCTGGATCTGGGGCTGTTTTTCCACTGTAGTTGGTCTGCAAAAACCATTGAAACCTAGAAACTGTTGAGGTCCTTGGTCCTTTCTGAGCTTGGTTGTTTTCTTGCAGACATTTCCTTACCCGTCTACATATCATCATCAGTGCTAGGAGTGAGGTTTGCTTGGTTTATGTAGACATGACTTGCCCCGTCAGTGTTGGTGGAAGTGTTTTTATTAGCTCCTTGAAGATTAGGCTGCTTTTGTTTGCGTGGAGAACTTATTTCTCCAGCTCAACACCCCAAGTAGCTGTGGGTGCTTTGAACTGCCCACGGCTTGACTGCAACGAACTCTACCCGGGGCTGCCCCTGAAGACCATTCAGAAGCTTCAGCTCATGTAGAATGCAGTGGTACAGCCAGTTACGTAACATCTCTGCATGACAAACTGGACTGGATTGCTAATTTGCTTTGAAGATGGGATTCCAAGTGCCGATTGCTGCCTGCAGGAAAGCCTGGCTTTCAAGGGACCACCTGTCTCCCATTGTATCGGCCCACTTAGTTTTACCTGGCAGGGTTGGTATACCCTGGGTTTCATTGAACGATTTCATCTCTTGGACCACAAAGTACACCTGGGTAGCAACACCCGCCCTCTGTATCTTCTTGCCTGCCCACCTATCCAAGACTCAAACAGCCTCCATTGTACTTTTGATTTTGAAGGACCCTTTGCCCAAGCTTTTGGACAAGGGTGGCTGATGCCTCCTTTTTCTCTCTCTTCCCAACCAGATTGTGTTCTCTGCCAGGTTTGTGTACTTCTTGTACTGATATTTTAAAGAACATTTTAAACTTGCAATTTATGGGCCTCGGGTGTCACATGCATTTCTGATCGATATTCAATTGGAACGGATTACATATAAAGACGGCCAAATTGATGGCATTGGGTACAGCAACTGGACTTGGAATTGACCGAGGAGATACTGAAGCGGGCAAAAGTTTCTGCCTTTTAGAATCAACTGTCAACAACAGAAGAAATATGGAAACATGTTGCAATTCTACTTTCGGAAAAATATATCCAAGGGCTTTTGATATGTCTGTACCCACCAAGATCATAATGGGGCAGGCAATGGTTCTCCATGTTAACTCTCTATGGAAGAAAAACAACTGGAATTTGAAGAAACAGAGTAGAAAAAAAACCCGGGGAACAGATTATTCTGAAGAAAATCTATGTGGTTGATGGCAGAATTAAGAGGTCTTATTTTAGTAACACTACTACTTCCTTCTATGGTGCGTAAGTCGCATGCCAGCAGCCTATGATCAGTTAACTTAGAAGAAAAAGAAACTCTTTCCTATCACTAGTCCTTCATCCGTCTTCTCTCTCTTCCCAGCGAGCTTCTGTGGACCAGAATGGAGGAAAACGCCTGCCCTCAAGACTCTTGAGTTTCTTGGATAGATCTTAACACTTAAATTGGGGATGTTTCTGTCCTACTTGTTCTGATGCATCTTCATAATTTTATGGAACCTTGTGGCTAACAAGAGCCATGGTGGCTCAGTGGTTAGAGCGCAGCATCTCGGGCTGACTCTTCTCACTGCCAGCAGTTTGATTCCAATCGGCTCAAGGTTGAGACTCAGCCTTCCATCTTTCCGAGGTCAGTAAAATGAGGACCCAGACTGTTGGGAGACAAGAGGCTGACTCCGTATCAACTGCTCAGAGAGGGCTGTAAACCACCGTGAAGCGGTAGGTATGTAAGCCAAAGTGCTAATCGCTACTCTAATCGTGCTAAGACCGGCTTCTCCGTTTACTGCATGCCAGGTTGATTTCAGGCAATGCTGCGAACAAACATTGCAGGTTGTTTTCACACGCAGAACTTTCGCCAGAGGCAATTCTCCATGGATTTTAGAATGAAATCCAGGTCTTTATCAGTAGACATTAAAGACAGGGGGGAACTCAACAGATTGATCTTTTTATTTTATTGGTTTTTTTTTAAACAACTTTTTTTTTTTTGGTTTTATTTATTAAACAAACCAGCTCGACCACCTTTTAAAAACTCAACGCTTCCTATTTCAAACTCAGGGGAGCAGACAGACAGGAGAGGAGGCAGGCTCCCAGGCACGCCTCCCCCTACTCCCATAAATAGAAGAGGGGAGAGGCAAGACCTCACATGTTCATATTTATATATATTTACACTCCACACTTAAGAGCAGCTCCACCCCTCCCGTCTCTGGGATCAAGAGGCAACGCAGCCCCTCCCAGAAAAATATAAACTCAGGTGAAACCAAAGGAAATAAGCAAAAATACATTCAGCTGGGAGCCTCCCCAAATCCTGATCCTTGCCCCCCCCAAATTACACTCCGAGTATCCCACTAAGAGTCTAAAACACCCCTAACAGAGGGGGACAAATTCAGTGTGCCCCTCCCCACAGAAACAGAAAAGGACTTAAGGAGACACCCCATCTTTAGGATACATCAACCGGAGAGGAGGGATGAGCCCCGGCAAAGAGCCCTCCCCCCCTCCCAAAAAAAAATTCATTCTGAGGAGAGGATGTCAAAAACCAAATCCAAAGGGGAGGGAGGAGTATTCTGGGCTAGTGGTGTCCGGAGAGATTGGGGTCTTGCTTGTCGGCGTGGGACCGAGTGTCCGTCTCCAGGCGGCGGGCAGGCGCTCCATCCCGGGGTTGAGGTGCCCGTTCCCAGCAGCGGGGGTTCCACCGAAGGACGTCGGACTGCGAGGGAACGGAAGGAGAAGAGAAGGAGTAGGTGAAGGCCTGGGCTGCCATCTTACCTGTTGTCTGCATTTAAGTTAGCCCCAGAAGCCAGCCTTACCTGCTGGTAGACCTCAAAGCGCTGGGCACGAAAGAGGCCACCGTAGCCAGACCCGGGAGATTTGAGCCTGGCACTGAAGCCTCCGGAGAAAGGCCTGCGGGAGAAGAGAAGAGAAAAAGGCTCAGCGCCTAGGAAAGAGACCCGAAGAAAAACCCTTGACTGGGGGCTCTTGATGCTATATCAGGAATGTGGTGCCAAGGAAAAGCAGTTGGAACTGTGTGTTTCTCCTACTCCCCATAGAATTTTTTTTTTAAAAAAACTTTATTTAAATAAAAGTTTATTTATTTATTTATTTCTAAACAGAAAATCCTGAAAACCAGGCGTATTTGCTATAAAGAACTATCTTCTGCTCTTCCAACTTAAAAAAGAGTAAAAAATCTCTACAGGGAGAAGCAAAGGTATTAATGAGATTTTAACAGCAACGCCTTAAAACCCTCTTTGGATTTCTTGTAAAATTTGACTTACTGTTATTAAACTTCAAGGAGCCCCCAACAGCTCCCAATAATCCTTGCACCTTATAAGAATTCGTTTAGCGACCGTTTCAAAGTTACAATAGCATTGAAAAACATGACTTGTTCACGC